CCAGCCCCTCCACGAGCTGCTTGAAGGTGGGGCGCTGCGAGGGCACGGCGTGCCAGCACTCCCGCATCAGCATGTACCTGGGGGGTGAGGTGGCGTTAGCGGGGTCTTGCCGAGGCCCCTGCCCACGCCGCCTGGCCCGTACTCACAGCTCGTGGGTGCAGTTGGATGGTCGGTCCATGCGGTGCCCCTCCTTCAGCAGCTTGAAGAGCTCCTCAACAGGGATGCCAGGATAGGGAGAGCCCCCCAGCGTGAAGATCTCCCACATCAGGATCCCGAAGGACCACCTGGGATCATGCATGGCAAAGGGGGGGGTCAGCCACATCCTAGGACACTCCCTAGCAGGTGGGGCCCTGGCTTACCTCACCACACCCTGTGGTGCCATGGGAGAAGGTGGCAGCACCCCTGGGGAAGATGTGCCCTGCTGCTGTCCCCGTGGCACACCCCCCATCCTACTCATGGAGACTCTCCACTTTGTGCATAACCCCAAGGTGCTGCCTTTGTCCCACACCCAACAGCATCCTCATCCCACACCTGACGGCATCCTCAGCCCCAGCAGCCCCAGGACTCACACATCGCTCTGGTGGGTGTAGACACGGTCAAACAGGGCCTCAGGTGCCATCCACTTCACCGGCAGGCGACCCTACAGGAGCAAACCCTCTGTTCAGCCCCAGACGAGGGGGCCCTGTGTTCGTCCCTGCCTCCCAGACCCCCCCACTCACATTGCTGGTTTTCTTGTAGTAGTCGATGTCGTGGACATCCCTGGCCAAGCCAAAGTCAGCGATCTTCATCACGCTTTCTGCCGTGACCAGCACGTTGCGGGCAGCCAGATCACGGTGGATGCACTGCCGAGGGGGAAGCATCGCCCGCAGGAGGTGTGATATGGTGGCTCCAGCTCCTTGCGTCCCCTCTCCACACCCAGAGCCACCACTCCCCTCCCACACATCCCCTGGCACTGCCGGCCCCCTGGTACCCCTGACAACAGGCGCAGTGCTGGGGACACACGCAGGAGGCTTTAAGCCCCACATGTTTGGGGAGATACTGCCCTGAGTTTTGCTGGATGTGGCTGGGAGGTTCTGGACATCCTGGGGGAAGGGGCTGGGCTCCCTCTTCCCACTCAGAGATGGGACAATGGGGGGACACAGCTCCTCCATCACCACCTTACCCCCCGCCCCGGGCTGTGCCAAGCACAGGCAGCCCATGTGGGCTGTGCCAGCCCTACCCGTTTGGACTCCAGGTACTCCATGCCACGGGCCACCTGGTAGACGCAGGAGACCAAGTCCTTGAAAGAGAGCTGCTCCTCAGGCATCGCCGTGACGTCAAAAGCATAGTCAGGTGTCGGGGGGCGGCGGGCGCGGAGGTACTCGCGCAGGTTGCCCTTCGCAGCAAACTCCACGATCACGTACAGTGGCCCTGGGAAAGTTGTCCGCTCCGCTCAGCCCGCTCCGCTCAGCCCCTGCCTCGTCCCACCCCAGCGTCCCGCTTGCCACTGTCCCCAACAGCCCCATCCCCTGCTCCTGCTCCATACCCGTGCCCTGCCCAAGCCCTGCCTGCACAGTCCCCTCACCGTCCTGCGTGCAGACTCCCAGGAGGTTGATGATGTTCTTGTGCTTATCCATGAGCTTCATCATCTCCATCTCCGATATGAGGTCAGCCAGGTCCTTGTCCGTGGCGTTGTCTGGGAAAGGAGGGCCATGTCACCGTGCCAGCTGGGGTGGCACGGCAGCCTAGCACTGATGCCACCTCTGTGCTGGGACACTGGCAGGGGAACCATTACCTTTCAGCATTTTCACAGCCACGGTGACTGCTCTGTCTGGCCGGTCTCTGTCGATGCCATAAGCCTCTGCCCGCACCACCTGGCCGAAGCAGCCTTCCCCCAGGGGTTTGCCCAGCACCAGCCTGGCAGGGACAGGCAGAACCGTGAGGGACTGCAGGGATGTCCCACTCCCTGCCACCGCATGGCTGGGCCCTGAGGATGCTCCTCTCCAGTCTGAGCCGAGTCCCAGCACCCTGGGGTACAGCGGTGCTGAGGTGTCTGCTGATGGCTGGAGACATCCCCATCGGTCACCCACATGCTGCTGTCCCCAGGGCGGCTGGGAGAGCCCAGGCCCAGCCCCACCATGCACTGCCCAGCACCGTACTTGTCTCGGGGGAACTCCCATTTGGCATCGAGGGGCAGGTCCAGCTCCATGACCCCAGCCAGCATCGGGGCGCAGCTGGAGGAGAGACGAGTGACGCGCATCAGGGACGTGCTGGACTTTCCGGAGGAGCTGGAGTCCAGGGAGAACTGCAGAGAGAGCCCAAGGGACGTCAGCCATCCCACCCCGTGCTCTGGGGCCCAGCAGAGACCCAATGGTGCTGCAGAGAGACCCTCACTTGGAGCAACGGGGTGAGGGAGCTGCAGGAGGCAGTGGGGAGGGCAGCCCCAAGGCTGGCAGCAGGGGA